TCTTCATTATTAATACATAATCAATAATTAATAATTAAATCATATGAATATTCTAATAAAATATTATTTCCATTAATTTTAACATATACAAATATTTATTATTAAAAGATTAAGCAAATTGGAGTAATATTTGGTAACAAAAAAAATTTTTAATAATAATTTTTAAAGTAATTAATGAATACTAATAATAATTAAAATAACATAAAATATAATTAATTAATTAAATAATAACAAGTAACAATTAACAAAAACTATCCTAATAAATTGTAAAAATTTATACCACGAATCATGACAACTTTTCAATCTAATTAATTGTTGAATAACTAAATGCTAATTGATTATTAGATAATAATTAATTGATAAACAACAATTAATTAATGATTGTTAATCTTAATATTTTAATAAAATTTAATAAAAATATAATATCTCTATGATAAAATTAGAACAATAAGTTGTCAAAATAAACAAGGAACATAATTATTAGTATTATTAACAATTATTGTTAATAATAAATGACTTTAAAAGTCCCAACGTCGAGCTGAAAGTATCAGAGAAGCATGAGAGTATAGGAGGGTTTCCCGCGACACACTATGTGGCCAGGCCCACGCCTCCTACCCAATATATAAGAGAGGCGTGGGCCTGTTCGTACAGCTATAGCTGTGTGGCCAGGCCCACGCCTCTCTTTTACGGCAAGCGAGATCGAAAGGTATTAAAGTCTCCAACTCATGCACCCTCCGATGTCGCTCACACTCTTACCGTGCATGTTCGTTTGTTATGTTTCTCGTCTTGAAACTCCAATATTATTGAATTGTTAAGGATTAGTGATAAAAATATCGATGCAAAAATACTTTATATAACCACATACAATTAATTTTAGTAAAATTAAAAAGGCATATTAACAATTATAATTTTAAGGGTTAAGATAAACTTCAATTAATTGAATAATAAATAAAATTAAATAAAACGAATAATGATATAATTATATTATTTAAATTAATAACATTGAGAATTCAATGATAATAATATTGTTAACAGTAATAATAATAGGAGTGACAAATATAACATGTAAAAGAAAAAAAAATTTCTTAAAATAATAAAAACATATTATATATATATTAATGTTTGTAGTTTAATAAACAAAACCAACAAAATACTGCTATTGTAATTATAGCATTAAATAATCATCGAAAGAGTTGAACAAATGAATTTTTAAATATCAATTTAAAATTCTAAATAATAGTTAATTCAAAGAAAAATTAAAGAAAGAGAGAAGAAGAGAGACATGGGACTTTCAGGCCGCATTAAGTTGTTCGCCGACTGTGCCGACGTTCCAGGCGTTGAAATCTCTCGATCTCCGCTCGAACTTACGAACATACTCCCTCTGCATTCGTGTTTCTCTGATGCTTCGCTCGACAAATTCAACTTGAATTATCGATTTAATCAATAAATAAATCGATTTTGACAATATTTCATATAAGAAAACTAAGGGCAAATAGAGTTTAACAAGAAATCATGAGAAAAATAAAAATTATTAAATTAAAAATTCAATCAATATTAATCAACGAATAATGTATATAAAAAGTCGATAATTTGGAAGGAATTGAAAAATTAAAATTATATTAAGTTCAAGTTTCTAATTTGAAAACAAAATTAAAAAAATTGAAAATTCAAAGAAAATAAGTTGACACAAGGAAATAGAATAAAAATCAATAATAAAATTAATTTATTTAAACTCGTTTTGAACCCGAAGGTTTATACAAGCGGAGCCTCATAACAGAGAGTCTAAAAATATTTACAACGAATACAGAGTTAATGACAATTACAGAGTTCTACTGATACGCTCTCTCAAAATTTTAACTATCAATTGTACAAATCTTTTTATTATTATAACATTTTCTGAAGACATAATATTGAGCCAAGCTTGAAATAAATCTGCAACATTCAGAACTTCCGGAAAATAAAATTTCTCTTAAGTGCCAAAGAGGATCTACATTTTAAATATGATTGTGCAACTGGTTGAAGGGTAAGAGAAGAATAAAAACAAAGACTACTTGACGTAGAGCACCGCACCTCATCCAAAGATCGAAGGGAACGCCCAAATCTCTCCAGGATTAAACCAATAGAATTCTCGATAGAGTCCAGGGAGATGTCCGACCACAAATCAATCATATTATATTCCACAAAAAAAACCCTTAACTGCGCGAACCAATTAAAACCGTTCGAGGGGTCGCTCAACGCCAAGCTCCTAAGCCTCTCAAAACACTGCCTGGGATATCTGTGAGATTGCATTTTCGAAATTTTTTTAATCCAGTTCAGCGTCAATGAGAGGACTCCATGAGCCAGACGCAAAGAACCCGTCTCTAGTCGGACTGCATAATCTGGTGTGTTTAATGGCAAAAGCAAAAGCTTCTTATAAAACAACACTTGTATTCTTTCAATCTGATGTAAAAATTGCGGACCCCAAACCTGAACCCCATAAAATAACACACTAATTGCCAAACTTTGAAAGAGTTTAGTATACGTGTTCCAAGAGTCAGCACCTAGAGAGAAAATAGACCTTAAGATCCCACCGATCGCCGAGCGCGCACCACTCGTCGCCACAGCCATCTGCTGCGCAAATGAGCCTGAATTTGAAAAAATAACTCCCAAATAATTATACTCCTTCACCACCTCGATAACCTCCTCTCCATACTTAAAAGAACTAAACTTTTTCGCCACTGACCTCCCAGACTTCGTAAAAATCACTACTTTCGTCTTATTAGTATTAACAATCAACTCATTCTCCATACAATAAGATCGAAGCGCTTCTAACTTTTTTCCCAATTCTATTGGAGAATCAGACAGCATGACATAGTCATCAGCATAGCCTTGCATTAAAATTTCAGTGAGGTGATTAATTGAAATACCCCTACATCCCTTCTGAATTAAATAATTTTCTAAATCGCTATTGAATTACAAAAAAAGTAGGGGGCTAAGAATTTCACCCTGTAACACACCTTGCGAAACCTTTACAAACTCTGTTGCACCATTGGGACATTTTATACAAGTAGATGCTTGTGCATAAAAACTTCTTAATATATTAATTAATTTAAAACTTAGGCCAAGGTCAGCCAATTTTCTCCATAAAAGCGTATGAGAGACAGATGGGAAGGCTCCCTTGAAATCAATAAAGATCGCGTACAAAACTGCATTAGGTTTACTTAGATGAATCTGAATAACTGAAAGAAGTGTAAAAAGGTTGTCTAAACAACTTCTACCTTTCCGGAATCCTGATTGGGATTCCGGAATTAAATTTAATTCTTCAGACCAAGTTACCATTCTATTGTAAATTATTTGAGTAAAAAGTTTTGCAATATTATTAACTAATGCTATAGATCTATAATTTTCAGGATTTAAAATGTCACCCTTCTTATATAACATAGAAGTAGACATTTCACCCCAGTTTTCAGGCACCGTTTCTTTATTTAAAATAGCATTAAAAAAATGAGTAATATAAAGCATCCAATTTTGTGGTAAATTCTTGTAAAAGTCATTTGCAATCCCATCAACTCCGGGAGCCTTTCCATTTTTACAATGCCTTATACTCTTCAGAACCTCTTCGAAAGTAATCTCTGTATCCAAAAATGGATGCGGAGGGTTTAACACATTAAAATCAAAAAGAATATTACACGCAGAAGGATTAGGATAACAAGAATGTAAATATTCCAGCCACGTAGGAAGGTCAATATCTGAATCATGATATCGCTTTCTCCTAGTTGAATTAATAATCTTCCAAAAAACACTTGAATTGTTACAACTAGCAAGTAAATTAATCTGCGTCTCTCGGTAACTTTTTTTTTTCGTTTTCAGAACAAGGCGATAATTTCTTTTTACATTTAAAAATTCATTCTTGAGATGTGTCCTGAAACCATCCTTCTTAGCCTCACCCAATGTTAAACGTAACCGCCCCTTGGCCTCTCTACATTCCTGATCGTACCACGGCTTATTATTGTTATTGTTATTAAACTTAGAGCGCCTGGGAGGACGGCACATGCCCAAATCCGCAGCAACCAAACCTATCGTTGAAGTAAGGACTTCATTTAAAGCATTAACGTCGTCGCTCAGGTTTGACACCTCCCCTCTCCATTCCATCGCAGAGGTAAAATCATCTGCTTTAGACCTATCAAAGCGTAACCCAACCTTTAAACGAGAATCAGTATCATTTGTACTATACGTATCGTCCAGAATTAACGCGACTGGTAAATGATCGGAAAGAGTGGGGAGATATAAAACCTGAAGATCACAAAACAAAGACAAATCCATAAGCGAACACCATACCAAGTCTATTACGCTAAAACCCTGGGATCCAGTAAAAGTATAATTAGCAGGCGTGTCACCAGGTGACCGCCCATTTAATAAAATAAAATCAGAGACTTCCATGAATTCAACAAGCAAACGCCCCCGAGAATTAAGAATTGTGTCACTAGAAAATCTTTCCGAAGTAAAAAAAGATCTGAAGTTAAAATATCAGGGTTAATTTGATTTAAATTGGCTAGTCTAGAATTAAAGTCACCCCCCACTACCAACGGGATTCCAGGGTATTTTTTATAAATTTTATTCAAAGATAAATTTAAATTGTCCAAAAAATATAACATATCAACATCAGGAGGAATGTACACTAAACCAATAATAAAACAAATGACATTAGACTTTACCTTAACAAAAACATAATTATTACATATTAACAGTTGCTTCACTTTATAGATATTAGAGTTGTAAGCCAAAAGCAGACCGCCCTTGGCCCTACCAAATGAGTTGATCCTGGAAGCTGGAGAAACAATGGAGACAAAATTAGGAAGATTCAACTTCAGATCCGTCCTTGTTGACCAAGTCTCACACGTACACAAAATGTCACCATCATTTACAGAATCATATAAATCCTCCACATTCCTGAGACCATGTAGATTCCAAAAGATAACCCTAGCCCGCGTCCCAATTGAGCACCCACTTGTAGATCTTTGCTATTCCTCAAGAACCATTCCACCAGAAGCTGAGCTATGATTTTTAATCACATCGTCACTAGTCGATTGCCGCGAATTTAAAAAGAAATTATCCAAGGATTCATTGATTTGAGAGGATTTAGAATCTCCTTTAGAAGTCATCTTCTTGTTTTTCTTTATGATTTTCTCCGGTATCTTCGTAGATAGACGTGAGGATGGAGGCGAAGTAAGAGACCGTTTTCGCGAGGAATTGCCCTCCGGTAAAGAACTATCTTTTATTAAAGATTGTGATTTATTATCTATGAATTTTTCATGACTAATAAAAATCCTATTGCCCTTTACCACTGCATTTTGACCCTTTTCCCTTAACTTCCGAGCTTGATCTAATAATTTGCGACGATTCTCCCTCTCCTCCTTAGAGCGATCGTTAGAAATAAAAATATTCTGACTCCTTAACTCCCTCACTTTTCCGAAGACCTTTCTGACCCATCTGGAGGAGATAAATTTTACCAAAGTAGGCCGGTTTCCCTGGTCCCTTCCCAGACGAAAAACATCATCAAAGGCCAGATCGGGTATATGCAGATCCACTTTTTGAAAAACATTGCAGACTCCAGAAATCAAATCCGAGTTAACTTCATCCGTATCAGTTAAATTGAATAAAACAATGTTTCTCGAACGAGAGAGATCGCGTAGGGCAGAAAGAGATAGATCTGATTGCGTCAACCTGTTCTCCAGCTCATTTACTCTCTTATCAACCAATTCAATCACCTTGGAAGAAGCATGAATTTTTGAACGAGTCTCATTGAGAGAAGCCGTCAAATTATTAATAGAGGTAAATAAGTACTTCCATCTCTCTTCCTCAGTAACTGGGAAGTTTGGTTCCTGCTCCGGCGACATTGTTTATCAATGGATATACAGACAGAGATAGTTAATGAACACTTAATAACAATAAAGAGACAAAGATGGGAAAAGTAATCAAAACAAGAGAACACCCAGCAATTGTTAAAAGTTTGAATCATTTTTCTTAACACACTCTTTATTTCACTATCCATGTACTCTTAAAAGAGTAAAAATTAGCACTGAAAAAAGTCAAAAAAAGGAAAAAGTAAACGGGTTCATAACTCTGCCTCACCTCACAAATCCTCACCACTTCCACTGGTTCAAAAGAAACAATTGTAAAAGGCGAAGGGTTTGTTGTCGGGACGAATTTCAAACAAAATTAAAAATAATGATATTAAATGGAATTAGAAAAGTTATATGGCGTATATATTTCGTTGTGTAAAAGTTTAAAGTTATTTTTGGAAATTCCCGGAATGTTTTTTCAAATAATTAATATTATTATAGATTAAACAAAAAAGTTCACTAACGAATATCAGATTATAACAAATATATATTGCAGGCAAATTTGTGGCAAAATAAATATTCTCGAACATTTATTAGTGAGGTTGTGCTGCCTTATTTGTACAAAAATATTCTCAACTTTGGTTAGAAATCCTTAATTTACTGTAACCTCCTAATACGGTTTTTTATGCGAAACCGTTACTGAACACATGCCGCATATTTAAGTAAATGATCTTTTAAATCAATAATATTACATTAATTAAATAAATATATTATAATAAACATTGCAACTATTGTTTAAAAGGTGTATGTATGTATGTTCATGTATGTGTATGTAAATATATATATATATATATATATATAAATTTGTAATAATTAATTAATTACATCTATTTCTTCTTCCTCGGATTCATTAATTAATAGAACTGTATTATTAACACCACAAATACACGTCGATTCCCTTCAATTGATTGGAATAAACCTTCCACAACGACAGAAACGTCCGTTTTTTCCCTTTAAACTGAAAACAAATAGTATATTAAGCAACAAGGGTATAAAGGCAGCCATTTGTTTACGGTGATTTTTGTGACACGAGTGGAGGTCGAGGGCGCCGTAGGAGCCCCGAGACCGGAACAAGTGTCACAAAAATCATCGTAAACAAATAGGCTGCCTTTATTCTCGTGTTACTTACGATATTTTTTATTCCTAATGCACAAAAGTGGCGATTTCAGATAGCAGACGACAGGGAGAAAAAGTCATTCACTTTTTCGACTTATATGAAAATGGCGGCCTATTTTCTCCCTTGGGCAAAAATAACGCATGGGATCAGCGGTTATGTTTGCACAAGGGAGAAAATGGACGCCATTTTCATATGGTCGAACAAATGAGTGACTTTACTCCCTGTCGTCAGCTATCTAAAAGCGCCATTTTTGTGCATGTGGGATAAAAAAAAATATATATATAATCGATAAAATTTTAAGTAGATCACAAAAGGTAATTTTTCAAATTACCTCACGAGACACGCCTTATTTTGAAAAGATACAATAAGGGCTGAAACCAAATGCATCAACTTCTTCTCCAATTTCGACTTGGAATTCTTTAGTTTTCGCACTTCTATTGAACTTCCCCTTACCACCGACCAAGAGGCTAGTAATTTGCGGAAAATCATTTTCAACTGTGAGTCAGGACGGCTTATTATTCGATAATTTGGTGCAAATCCCCGAGATCATTTTAAATTCTTTATTTCCCTGGATATCCTCCCGCGTGGAAATAGTCAACTCTGGGATCACCCTTGCGGAATATGTACTATAACACAGATAAACCTTGGGAAAAGTTGTAACTAACCCAATAAGAAATCCTAGCAAAACCATGGCTTATGAACGAATACAAGAGAGATGCTAGGGCTGGCAGAACCATAGGTCTTTAAATACAACAGTTTGCCAATATGTAATTTATTAATTTAAGACAAAACTGGCACTACCTTGGCAAAAGCATTTTTATATTTTGAATGACATAAAACTGGGAAAAGCCAGTATCAACTTTTCACCAACCCAAAACTGGAAATACCGCCGCAAAAGCATTTTTATATTTTGAATGACATTTTAAAAACTGGGTAAAGCCAGTATCAACTTTTCACCAACCCAAAACTGGAAATACCGCCGCAAAAGCATTTTTATATTTTAAGTTACCTGTTAAAAACTGGGTAAAGCCAGTATCAACTTCTCACAAACCCAAAACTGGAAATACCGCCGCAAAAGCATTTTTATATTTTGAGTGACCTGTTAAAAACTGGGTAAAGCCAGTATCAACTTCTCACAAACCCAAAACTGGAAATACCGCCGCAAAAGCATTTTTATATTTTGAGTGACCTGTTAAAAACTGGGTAAAGCCAGTATCAACTTCTCACAAACCCAAAACTGGAAATACCGCCGCAAAAGCATTTTTATATTTTGAATGACCTGTTAAAAACTGGGTAAAGCCAGTATCAACTTCTCACAAATCCAAATCTGGAAATACCGCCGCAAAAGCATTTTTATATTTTGAATGACATTTTAAAAACTGGGTAAAGCCAGTATCAACTTTTCACAAACCCAAAACTGGAAATACCGCCGCAAAAGCAGTTTTATATTTTGAGTGACCTGTTAAAAACTGAGTAAAGCCAGTATCAACTTCTCACAAACCTAAAACTGGAAATACCGCCGCAAAAGCATTTTTATATTTTGAATGACATTTTAAAAACTAGGTAAAGCCAGTATCAACTTTTCACCAACCCAAAACTGGAAATACCGCCGCAAAAGCATTTTTATATTTTGAGTGATATTTTAAAAACTGGGTAAAGCCAGTATCAACTTCTCACAAACCCAAAACTGGAAATACCGCCGCAAAAGCATTTTTATATTTTGAGTGACCTGTTATAAACTGGGTAAAGCCAGTATCAACTTCTCACAAACCCATAACTGGAAATACCGCCGCAAAAGCATTTTTATATTTTGAATGACCTGTTAAAAACTTGGAAATGACTGGCTCAAAGTTAGACGACTCATAAAAGTATAATTAATGCTACGAAAGCTATTTTTTCATTTATACCAACTTTTTTAAAACAGCAGAGATCAATGCTTGAGAAAAAGTAAGTTTTTATTGTGAATTATAAGTCATATTGAATAATTATTATAATTATGTTTTTATTATTTTATTTTGGTAATTGGTAAATGATATTATTTTAAAAAGTAAGATTCAACTTTGAAATAATTTCTGATAGTTCAAATTAATATTGATTGTCTTTCTTGTTGGAACCTTTCCTTTTTCTCTTACTGAGAGTTCACTCCGGTTTTGTCCGAATTGATGTTTTCTTTTTCTTTTCTCATCAAGATTATCTTTTCCTGCTTAGTTTTTTTTTCTCTACGCGATATTATATTATTATTATTTTCGTCATTTCTGTTTTACCACTACCTTCTTTTCTTGTATCACTTTCCTTTGCTTTTACAGCTACCTTCGATCTTGTCCTTAAAAAAAGTTGAATTTTAAAAAATTATCAGTAATCTTTGAACAAGTTAAAATTTACATTGTTTGGGAGTAACAATTTAAAAAAACATGTTTTGAATTCAAGCAACATTAGATATTTAAAAATGTAACTTTTTATATTTTTACAAATTTCATTTTCTTAAAGATTTAAATATTTTATAAAGTCTTTACCAATACAGAAGTAAACAAAAACATATAAGAAAATGTCAGTAGCAAATAATAGAAATTATAAAAATGTAGTTAGAAAGATTTTTTATGTATGATCGATTCAATAAATATTTAAGTGATTTATTTTACCTGCATTTTCTTCCATTGATCCCATTTGAGTGGTGCTGACTACTCGTTTTTAAGTTTCTACATTTACCCCTTTAAACTTTCTTCTTCTGTTGCTCATTTTTATCATTCATAATAAGTAAAACAATATTATAATGCTAAATTGAAATTAATTGCAATAAAAATGTCTATAAAAATTTATTCTATTAATAATTTTATTATATAAAAGCTTTGTGACATATTTGTTAATGTTTTTAAAAACGAATTACCAATTTATGTTCAGAACTGTTTTTAAAGTAACCATCTATTGAAACCATTATTATTCACCATCATCAACAATAAGACAATTTTTTTTTAAATTTGTATAATAGTTATTAAATTGGATAAATATGTAGGTAAATGTTATTATTTCTTATAAATATTGTTAACTATTTTTGATAAAATTTCAGGATACAGATATTTGCCATCGACAAAAGTTCTCCTGTGTAAAAAATGACCCAGAGTGTCATAGTAAAATAATAATTAATAAGTAAAACAATTGTTATTAACAAAAAAGACCACCTTTCCTATTTAATTTTGTAAAATGTTAACAAAATTTAACCATAAAATTATAATAATTACACAAATATCACTCACATTCATCGTAAAGTTTCCCACATAATACAATAATGAGCTCCTCGTTCTATTAATATTGTTGAGTAATGTTAAGTGCAATATTTTTTTACATTATTTATAACAGAATTTTGACCTAGTAGTAACGATAAACTTCGAATTCTGAACCATTGTTGTCATGTTTGCCTAAAAAATGATAAAATATGTATGAAACAGATGTATAAATTGAAAGTAATTTTCAATGTGAGATGTAGACAATAAAATATTTTATCTTGAAAATTGAATAAAAGTTTGTAATATTATTTTACCTTTACACGTATTAACTTGAATCAAAAATATTAGCGATATGTTTCTATTCATTCTCAATTGGTTTTAGAAAGCCAAAATTGTGGCGCATGCATTGTACGACTATACATATGGTGAATAACTCGAGTCAAAAATAGTATCAATATGTTTCAATTCGAATAAAACAAGTCAGAAGTAGTATAGCGATATGTTTCTATTCATTCTCAATTACGTTTACTGGTTTAACAGCAAATGTTGATAAATTATTTTGTTCTTGTGTAGTTATAAAGAAACAAAGATTTTGTAAAAATGCTACATCTACAACATCCATTTGTTCTGGGATTTGGAATATTTTATAAACAAAA